TGCCCATACAAGCGCTTATCGGGAAATACAACTAAAACAGCGCAAACGGATATCCTTGTGTAGAGGCTGGTCAAATGGGAGAGAAAAATGTATATTGGGCCACGTCAAACAGCTTGTATCGCAGTCAAAGCGGTATTTATGCTAGATTAGCCGCAAATATTTTTCCCTGTTGTTGTGCGCATTTATGGCATTTATGGAATTATAGGTTTCCCTTTAATTGCAGAGGTGGAAACGAGAACTGCCAAAACCCTTACAATTCATGCTTTTGCATTAGTTGACCATCAGACTATCAAATCCAGTCCCATGGACTCTCATTCCGTATTTATGAGCTCAAATAACAATGCAGGTGCCTAAAAGGAGATGCACGCTATTCTACAATCGCAAAAATTGTGCAAACAAGTTCAATGCGATTTTTTCCTAGATCAAACTAACCATTGTAAAGCGTTTAGTGTGTGTTCCCGTCTTTGTGCTCACTAGACAATTCTGATGCGCACCTCGCCATAGTCATTCCAGTTTGTCCAAATCAAAATAGAGTCCAAATGTATTTTCTGGCCTCAATACATAGGATGCGTAGACTGAACTTGATGTGACTGCTGTCGGATGGAGGTGAGAGTTGGTGCCATGCCATAACATGTTTGCAAAAGCTTAATTTCGGAAATGAAAATAGTCAGGTATGAACGTGGATACCGACAGGCATTGGCTCTGACTCGCAATAGTAATGAGCATATACTTCTACAAGTCTATCATGCTGGATACCCAAATCACACAGACCGTGTCAGCAGACCAAACCCTACCTGCTTCAGTGGACCACGTCTCCACTGTTGAGCACCGCATGGCATTCTGAAATACCAGGCAGACTAGTTCTCCCATATAGAGTGAAACCACATTGCTAAACAATGCGCAAGCAATGTTACACTGCTAAAACAACGGCCAACGCAATTCGATTTCTAAAATGTATTTGTTCCATGAAAATGGGCTGATCGGCTGTTGGCTTTTCAGAAAGCAAATATGCATAAACTGAAGCAATTAGGGCTTAGACAACACCCACGGGCAGACCGCATTTCATTTTACTCTCTCAGGGGGATTCAAGCAGCATTATGGCAGGACATGCCGAGGTTCATCTTTGCTTCTACTTGCATCAAAGGAGTCCGCAATAGCAATGACATACGAACACAGTGACATCGAAACATCGCACACTCAACATTCTATACATCATTTCTTGTAACAATCCATGTTTGCAAGGAAATGCTGCCTCAGTATTCCAGTCAAACCTAAAATACGCATAAATCATCAGAAGTGGGCACAATACATTTCCAGCCTTTAATTTCGGCCATTAATCTTAAGCGTTAATAACTGCATTTCTCAGCGTCCCGTTGGTAACTGCGAGACCTGAGCATATATTTGTTCGTAGGTCCGAGTGTTCGCCTTGTAGGTAAGGGAGAACTGGATTAGCATGTTACGAGAGGAGGAAGTAGAAAAAGACGGTGGGTGTGTCGGCATCAACATTGACACTACTTTAAGCGGTTCACGCAAGTAATGTTGATGTGTCAGCATGACTTCCTCCGATAATGCGCAATTTGGCGTTAGGCCTGACTTCACCGCTTCACTACGCACACCAACATTGTGGCAATGTTGACTTGGCAATGTTGGGTGCGCATATACTTATTTCCTACCGCACAAGTTGCCTTGCCCTGACATTCGTGTCATCAACCGGTGGACGGCAAATCGTCAATTGGTTGTAGAAGCAGTAAGCTACAGTCGACCTAGTGGCAAAGTCAACAGTGTACTTACTCGTAATGTAAAACAATGCTCTTACTTGTGGCAAATACGTATTGGATGTTTGTCGCCAAGAAAACGCGCTCAATGTGACAATGTCGGAGCCATTGCAAGCAATGTGCAGCGAAAGCGTGCATGGCCTCCTCTTCAGTCCAGACCATTTGGCTAAAATATTTTCGTTGACCGTTCTTCTCATCGCACGAAGTAGTGCGACTTTCACTGCTCCTTTCGTTTCAGTGCTTGGAATCATGTCCACTTGTTTACTCACTTTTGGAATCGAGGGGAAGCTACATTACCTGTAATGATTGGCATCAACGGTACCGTTTCACTCACTGCGACCTATTTTGAAGGTTATAAGCAATTGATATGTAACAAGAGACCCGAGGATAGCAAGGATAGGTAATTTTTTTGAGTAATGTCTACCTAATTCGTGAGCTTTAGCTATCCGCTCCCTAGATACATACAGTTTCAGGATGTGATGACTGCACATATTATTTTGCCCATACAAGCGCTTATCGGGAAATACAACTAAAACAGCGCAAACGGATATCCTTGTGTAGAGGCTGGTCAAATGGGAGAGAAAAATGTATATTGGGCCACGTCAAACAGCTTGTATCGCAGTCAAAGCGGTATTTATGCTAGATTAGCCGCAAATATTTTTCCCTGTTGTTGTGCGCATTTATGGCATTTATGGAATTATAGGTTTCCCTTTAATTGCAGAGGTGGAAACGAGAACTGCCAAAACCCTTACAATTCATGCTTTTGCATTAGTTGACCATCAGACTATCAAATCCAGTCCCATGGACTCTCATTCCGTATTTATGAGCTCAAATAACAATGCAGGTGCCTAAAAGGAGATGCACGCTATTCTACAATCGCAAAAATTGTGCAAACAAGTTCAATGCGATTTTTTCCTAGATCAAACTAACCATTGTAAAGCGTTTAGTGTGTGTTCCCGTCTTTGTGCTCACTAGACAATTCTGATGCGCACCTCGCCATAGTCATTCCAGTTTGTCCAAATCAAAATAGAGTCCAAATGTATTTTCTGGCCTCAATACATAGGATGCGTAGACTGAACTTGATGTGACTGCTGTCGGATGGAGGTGAGAGTTGGTGCCATGCCATAACATGTTTGCAAAAGCTTAATTTCGGAAATGAAAATAGTCAGGTATGAACGTGGATACCGACAGGCATTGGCTCTGACTCGCAATAGTAATGAGCATATACTTCTACAAGTCTATCATGCTGGATACCCAAATCACACAGACCGTGTCAGCAGACCAAACCCTACCTGCTTCAGTGGACCACGTCTCCACTGTTGAGCACCGCATGGCATTCTGAAATACCAGGCAGACTAGTTCTCCCATATAGAGTGAAACCACATTGCTAAACAATGCGCAAGCAATGTTACACTGCTAAAACAACGGCCAACGCAATTCGATTTCTAAAATGTATTTGTTCCATGAAAATGGGCTGATCGGCTGTTGGCTTTTCAGAAAGCAAATATGCATAAACTGAAGCAATTAGGGCTTAGACAACACCCACGGGCAGACCGCATTTCATTTTACTCTCTCAGGGGGATTCAAGCAGCATTATGGCAGGACATGCCGAGGTTCATCTTTGCTTCTACTTGCATCAAAGGAGTCCGCAATAGCAATGACATACGAACACAGTGACATCGAAACATCGCACACTCAACATTCTATACATCATTTCTTGTAACAATCCATGTTTGCAAGGAAATGCTGCCTCAGTATTCCAGTCAAACCTAAAATACGCATAAATCATCAGAAGTGGGCACAATACATTTCCAGCCTTTAATTTCGGCCATTAATCTTAAGCGTTAATAACTGCATTTCTCAGCGTCCCGTTGGTAACTGCGAGACCTGAGCATATATTTGTTCGTAGGTCCGAGTGTTCGCCTTGTAGGTAAGGGAGAACTGGATTAGCATGTTACGAGAGGAGGAAGTAGAAAAAGACGGTGGGTGTGTCGGCATCAACATTGACACTACTTTAAGCGGTTCACGCAAGTAATGTTGATGTGTCAGCATGACTTCCTCCGATAATGCGCAATTTGGCGTTAGGCCTGACTTCACCGCTTCACTACGCACACCAACATTGTGGCAATGTTGACTTGGCAATGTTGGGTGCGCATATACTTATTTCCTACCGCACAAGTTGCCTTGCCCTGACATTCGTGTCATCAACCGGTGGACGGCAAATCGTCAATTGGTTGTAGAAGCAGTAAGCTACAGTCGACCTAGTGGCAAAGTCAACAGTGTAATCCTAAATTTGAGTGGCGGAACAATGTCGCATGAAATAGACGCGCAAAAGTGGTCCACACTTACCAACTCAGTTGGCATAATTCTGTGGTGCTTTCATAATCATCCACTGCCTGCTCTCCCATAGTCA